TAATTTTGTTCTTCCACCTTTCTCCTAGTGCAATGCATGATCTGTATCTACCCACAAGCCTTTTCCCAACAGAGCAGCTTGAGCAATAATGTCGGGCTGCTCTTCTTGAAGACTGCCACCAGGGCTCATTCATCTTGGGCAGTGTCATAAAGTGAGGCAGAACCAACATGGTTTTCACTTCTTAGTGAAATAATCAATGTTTCTGAACTCAAGCCTAGCAGTGTTCTCTGTAAAACCTGGTTCCAGGGGCTAGGGTGTTGGTCTGCAGATAAAGCACAAGAGAAAGGAAGCAGCATAACCCAAATAGTGCAGTGGCATTTGAGGCAGAAAGAGATTAAGGTTGAGCAACGTCACCCATACTGGTTTTAGCAGAGTTATAATCCAGCTGAGCTCTGTGTTTCCAGTCCTGTGCTTTAGCCAAAGCCCACACAAAACTCTGCTCTGTGCCTCTGTTTTCCCCATCTGTAACAGAGGGTTAATGATACTTGCATCACATTACTGTATCATTGCATACTGATACGAAAGCTTCATCAAAATCTATTATATATATTATAACCCAGTGTTTTGGGAAGAGTTTATGTAGCTCTCTGGTCAGTTATATGTCCCCCTCTGGCCCTCCTCAGTCCAATAAGTCAACCAAGATGCAGCTATTGTATATGTGTGAGAGGACCATATCTAAAAGAAAACTGCAATATATATGCTTTGTGTAGACCCCTGCCTTTTGCTCACCTGCAGTTAACTGCAGGGTTAGAACATATGTCTGTGCTTGGTTTTCATTACAGAACAGCATGGTGCTCTCCGCAGCTATATTTATCACTCTGATCGGCCTGATCGTATACCTGCACTTCGTGAAAATTGACCAAGAGTCCCTGTTAGTCATTGCATCACTTGGCATCCAGATGACCTCATCTTATGCCTCAGGCAAGGAGAGTACAACTTTCATTGAAATGAGCCAAGTGAAGGATGTGGTGATCAACGAGGCTATTTACATGGTAAACACTTACAGCCTTTCTTTTGTGTAGTGTTTCTTTTGTGTAATGTCCAGTATGTTTTCTCATGTCCTTATGTTTAGGGACATGGGAAATGTTTTAACATTGAAATAGTCAAATTTTGTTGTCAATGCTTGAAATTCTTGCATGTATGGAATCATAGAAAATTAGGGTTGGAAGGGATCTCAGGAGGTCATCTAGTCCAACCCCCTGGTCAGAGCAGGACCATCCCCAGCTGTATCATTCCAGGCAAGGCTTTGTCCATCCAGGTCTTAAAAACCTCCAAGGATTGAGATTCCACTATCTCTCTGGGTAGCCTCTTTCAGTGCTTTACTACCTTCCCAGTGAGAGAGTTTTTCCTAATATCTAATCTAAACTTCCCTTGCTGAAACTTGAGACCATTGCTCCTTGTTCTGTCATCTGCCACCATTGAGAACAGTTTACCTCCACCCTCTTTGGAGCCCCCCTTCAGGTAGTTGAAGGCTGCTATTAAGTTCCCCCTCAGTCTTCTCTTCTTCAGACTAAATAAGCCTAGTTCCCTCAGTCTCCCTTTAGAAGCCATGTGTCCCCTCACCATTTTCATTGCCCTTTGCTGGACTCTCTGGAATTTGTCTGCAGCCTTTCTGTAATGAGGGGGACACAGTACTCCAGATGTGGCCTCACCAGTGCTGAACAGAGGGGAATAATCACTTCCTTCTATCTGATGGCAATGTTCCTACTAATGCAGTCCAGTTTGCGTTTAGCTTTTTTTGCAGTAAGGACACACTATTGGCTCATATTCATCTTATTGTCCACTGTAACACCCAGGTCCTTTTCTCCAGAGCTGCTGCTTAGCCAGTTGGTCCCCAGTCTGTACTGGTGCATGGGATAGTTCTGTCTTAAGTGCAGGACTTTGGACTTGTCCTTATTGAACATCATGAGACTTCTTTTGGTCCAGTTCTCCAATTTGCTGAGGTCTCTCTGAATCCTAGCCCTATCCTCCAGTGTATCTATTACTCCCCACAGCTTGGAATCATCTGCAAAGTAAGAATCTTGAGCATTCATCTGCTCTCTTAATTCTCTTTTCCTCCCCACCTCTCCTAGTGACAAGCTTCATAACCAGCCCTGTCTGGTTTTGGTCACAGTCTACATGGAGCCTAGTGTTGAAGAACTAGAAGTCTTCATACACACAAAATTATGATCTAATTTGGATAATTGAGAGTTGATGGGCTAGTCCACATGACTGAAATGTGGGTATGGATAAGTATAACTGGTTGAAGAAGGACAGACAGGGAAAAAAAAGGGGGAAGCATTGCTTACGTATATTAAAGATATGTATTCCTGATCAATAGTCCAGAATAAAGTGAGAAAGTCTCTGGGTTAAGTTGAAAGGAAAAAAACAGGAGAGGTAATGTGTCATGGGGGGTGGGGAGGAAATAGATGAGCAGCCAGACTAGGAGGCAAAGGCTCTGGCCACCTGCTGGCTTAGCTTCCTTTGGTAGGAGGAAGTAGTCAAGACTCCTTAAACAGCTAACTAAAGTATCTAAATTCCTCAACCTGGTGCTTGCAGGGGTCTTCAGTTACTGTGACATCTACTGGGAAGGTAATAACAGATCAGTGCGTAGACCAGTGGTTCTCAACCTTTTTGGTTCAAGGCACCCTTCTCTCATTAAACTAAAAGCAGCCATAGGCAAATGCCAGCTTTTTGTTTTCACGTGTTTCTTGCCTATGGAAAAAATAGGCTAGTTTTTCTGTCGTAGAGAACTTGGACAGACCACAGCAGGACACTGTTTTTAACACTGGATTCCTCAAGGCACCCCAGGGGTGATGCAGCTCCTTGGTTGAGAATCACTGGCCTAGACAGTCCAGCAAGTCCTTGGATAGTGTCAGAAACAACTTCTTCGTAGTGAAACCAATGATGACAAGTTGACAGGAGCAATGGACTGACTTTAGTGAGGTCTTTAACATTGTCTCCCATGACATTCTTATAAGCAAGCTAAATAAGTATTGCTTATATGAAACTGTTATAGGATGAGTGCATTAGAGTTTGGTTCATTGTGCTTAAAGAATAGTCATCCATGGCTCAATGTCAGACTGTGAGGAGAGATCTATTTTGGGTTTAGTCCTGTTCAATATCTTCATTAATGACTTGGAGGATGAAATTGAGTGTAGATGAGGTATACTTGAAGATGACATAAAACTGGGTGGGGTAGTAGGTTTTTAGAAGGACAGGGTTAAGATACAAAATTACTTTGATGTACTGGAAAAAAAGGTTTGAAATAATAAGATGCAGTTCAGAATGGACAATTGCCGAGTACTGCACTTAAAGTGGAACAGTCAAATGCACAAATACAAACTGGGGAATGACTGGTTAAGCTGCAGTAGTACAGAAAAGGACATGGGGGGGGTTTAGTGGATTGCAAACTGTGAGTCAGAAATTTATGTTGTTGCAAAAAACTGATAGCATACTAAGATATATTGATAGGAACATGGCATGTAAGTCAGGAAGGGATTCTTCTACTCTGCAGTACTGATGAGGGTTCGCCTGGAGTACTTTGTCCCGTTTGGGTACTGCACTTCTAGAAAGACATGGACAAATTGGAAGGAGCGTAGCGAAGAGTAACAAACATGGCTGAGGTCTGGAAAACATGACATCTGAGGAAGGGTTGGAAGAACTGGGATAAGTCCAGAGAAGCGTAGATTGAGGAGGGATTTGATATGAACAGGATTGTTCAAATACAAAAAAGGAGGTGGCAATAATTGTTTGCTATGACCATAAGGAACAGGGCAAGAATTAATGGGTTTAAATTGCAACAAGGCATATTTAAGTTAGATATTAGGAAGAACTTTCCACTTCTGCGGGTGGCTAAGCACTGGAACAAATTGCCTAGAGAGACTGAAGAAACTGTCAGTAGAAGGTTTTAAGGGCAGGTTAGACAAACATTTGGCTGAGATGGTTTGAATAGTGATGCTTCTGTCTTGAGCAATGGAGTGGACTAACAGACCTCCTTTGGTCTCTTCTAGCCCTGTTTCTTTCTGATTATTTGATCAACACAAGACTTTTTTTTTTTTTTTTTTTTTTTTACCTTTTCTCTTTCTTATTCTGCCATTGATTCCTTTGTGAAATCTGCTGGAGAGATTTTAAATGAGCAAACAAAGACCAGGTTCAGTCTTGATGTAAAGCCATTGACAGGCTTTAGTCCTTAGTGCTGCTCAATAGTTCTGAGAGACACCCGAGATACTTTATATATTAAAAGTCAGAGCACAGTATATTTCATGTTGTTTTTCTGTTCTTTCGATTTTTTTTTTTTTTTTAACTCTTCTGGAAAATCAGCCTTTTCCCAATTTCTTAGTGTTTCTTTCAGGTTTAAAATCTCATATGCAAACAGACAAAATTGTTCTTGTTTCAGGTGTGGGTGAAGGGAAGGGAGGGGCAGGTATTCTAGAAGGCTGCAACACCAGTGCTCTATAATGTAAAAGTGGAGCTGGAGACTTAAGGAAAAGTCATCGTCAAATAAAGCGTATCATCTCTGCCACAATGTTGTCACAACACAACCAGTCTGCTTCATTGGGTGAGATGCACGTCACCCCTTGTCCCACCCTTGACCGTGCAGGAGAAGGGATGATTTGAGGTGGTTTTGGGTGAGTGGGAAAAGCACTGTTTTCTCTGCTCAGCCAGGAGCATCCCCTCTGACAGCAAGAATGAGTCTGGCTGAATGGGAAAAGCAGGAGACAGCTGTGGCTGAGTGGGAAGCCACCTGAGTTCCCTGCTTATGGATACAAGGTTCTATGGGTGAATCTGATATCTTTTACTAGACCAACTTAAGCTTGCTAAACATTTTTTTCCATCTATTTTCCATCTATTTAAGTTGGTCTAGTAAAAGATATCAGATTCACCGAAAGAATCTTGTCTGCCTATGTCCTTAGACCAATACGGCTACAACCTACACCCCTGCTTATGGAGAGGTGCCTTAATGCCTCCCTATAAACAGGCAAGGGCAAGGTGCTTCAAGGGCTTGAGGGGCACTCCTTCAAATACCAACCATTTTGCTTTTGAGCTTTTGTGTAGCATGGCTATGTGCTGCATTTAGTGGCTCTTGTGGTGTTTTGAGATAAAATATAATTAGATATAATAGGCAATACTGCACAGCATTTCCACTGCCCTGGATTTCCTTGAAGATCTTCCCTTCAAATCCAGACTATATCTAGTTGTGCCTGGCTTGTGAGTAGCTAACAGATCTCTGCCTGAGGTAAAATACCTGAGAATTTCCATTTTCTTCTGAAAAGTATTTTAACTACATTTCCCCTTCTTCTCCCCCCACACTTTCTGTGAAGACTGCTGTTGTATTGAAAGGAGATATCCAAGAAGTCAGCTGGAAAGTGAAGGGGAAACCCCCTGGCGTACTTAGCACTACCCTACAGATCTTAAAGGTGTCCTGCAAATGGAGAAACCATTGAGCACGGACTCTATTTGTTTTCTTTTGATGGAGAAAGAAGCCTGGCACATCTTTAAAATTGGTCATATTTGCCTTAAAAAAGGCTAATTGATGTCTATGATCTTGTTTTCATTGCAGTATTTTGCATTTTACTGCATTTGAACACCACCATGAAGAACTGGGTTCACTCATGGGATGTCACTGACAACATTTTCATAGTCATTGTAGGACAGAACAAATCTTTGCAGCCATGTTCAAACATGATGTGATTTTAGAAGAAAAGCAAACCCCATAATAACAGGAGAACTAGTGAAATGATAGTAAGAGTAAGGAAGTTTTTAGCCACACTGTTAAACACTGGAGGGAGGAAGGTTGTATCTATTGAACCCCAGTATTTGATGAACACTTTGGAGAAAGAAATGTCTGTCAAAAAAAACATCACCATCACCCTTTCAATTAAAGTGAATAGGGTTAAGATATTTCTGATCTTTCTAAGGTAAAACACAAATAGCAAGCAAGAAAAAAACACCTCTTGGACACACTTTGTGCGTCCTTGTCAGCAAAATGCATTGTTCTTGTAAATCTTAATTGTGGATACTAAGTCATCTCAAGAAGATGTCCTGCCCCAGTTTAATTGAACCAGATCCTCTTCTAGTGATAATGTAAGGGACACTCTGATAACATTTGTTGATTTTATTTTTTTACAGCAAAAAGTTATCTATTACCTGTGCATACTTCTCCGAGACCCTCTGGATCCACAAAGCGTGTCTGAAGTGGTGCCACTCTTTCAGGTGAGTCCGGTTGGATTGTGGAAAGTTTCAGGTAATTTTTAGCTCACGTATGTACACGGTTCTCAGCTTATTTCATTCCATAATCTTTCACACAGTGAATTACTCCTGCCTTTTCTTGGACGTGCCTCAGAGACCTCATTCCTGCAGCACTTCACAGGAAGTGTAAGGACTCACAGAACTTAGTGTTGGGAAAACACCTTTTTGTCTGTCATGGACATTAGGGACATGTGCAAAGCTGAACCAAGAAAAAATTCACTGGTCGTCTGTGAACCAAAAGTGATGAGCCTCATACAGCTGTGCTGAAGACCTTGATTTTGGAGTAGTTAAGGCTGAAACTTCACACAGTGCCACCACCCAAGGGGCTCTGTAGCATCTGAGTAGAGTCTCTTTCAGCTGCCAATACCAAAGATTATATTAAAGGAGCACTGTGGTATAACTAAGTTATATTATTATTTCTTGCCCATTGATAGGAGGAACTCACCCTCCTGCTGGCTGACACCAGCCTGGACATAGTGGGGATTACGGAAACGTGGTGGGACTCAACACATGATTGGGTGGTGAATGTCAAGGGCTATAGGCTGTACAGGAGGGACAGGATAGGAAAGAGAGGTGGGGGCGTGGCACTCTATATTAAGGAGGAATACACATCCTCGTCAATTAGTAAGGAGTCAGGGGAGGGGCACTCTGAAGTGCTTTGGGTTAGGGTACAAGGCAGTTGAGGGGAAAGGGACTTAACGGTGGGAGTCTACTACAGACCTCCCAACCAGGGAGAGGAGCTTGACCAGGAATTCTTGGGTCAGCTCACAGAGGTAGTGAAGGCTAAGGATGTGGTAGTCATGGGGGACCTGAACTTCCCAGACATCTGCTGGGAAGAGCAGTCAGCCAGGTCAGAACGCTCACGTAGGTTCTTAGACAGAGTGCAGGACCTCCATCTAACCCAGGAGGTGCACAGCCCCACCAGGGGGGA